TATTAATTAAATTTTTAAAGAGAACTTTCTCGATGTAAATATGCATTATTATTTTAATAATAAATAATAAAAAATTTTAAAATGAGAAAACAAAGTTGTGCATCTGCGCGGTAAATTTGCCATAAGAAAAAAGTTATACCTTGAGACTGGGAGCAATGATATCGTTGTTGATGATTTCGCTTAATCTGTTGCTTAGCTCTCGTGCATTCACTCTGGACATGATAAATCCTTTTTCGGAGGCCAAGTTTACTAATTCTTGGAAGTACGCTATCGCTGGTTTTATATACTGATGACTGTCAATATTCATGTTTAAGTATTTCTTCGCCACCGCGTTTGCCAGTCTGAGCGTGAAATTTAATATTGACTGTTATATATCCGTTCGCGGAAAATTCGCGCGCACAAGCGAAGTATATAAATATAAATTATATAAATATTATATAGATTATATAGATATTATATAATATTATACAGGGTGTCCCAAAACACCCTTGACAACGCTCGTGAGCAGGTAGAGCACAGTAAACTGAACAGAAAATATTATATTTTATAAAAGAGAGGAAAAAATATTATATATTTAATTTATTATAAATTTTAATAAATATTAGATATGTTCAACTGAAACATAGACTGAGGTCGTTATTTCATAAAACTGTCAGTCTATGTTTTACTTGAACGTATCTAATATTATGTAAATTATTACACATGCTAACCTGGTAAGGCTCTCCGTTGGTCTCGTGGAGTCAAACATCATCGTTTTCGGGAATCCCTGAGACTTGAGGAAACTATTGCCGACATATTGCATAGCCATAAGATAACGTTGTTGATTCTTTGGTTCGGAAACATGAGAGATCCAGTCGGCCACAAAAGTCGTGAGCGAATTGATCCATCTTCGACGTATAGTAGGATTCTCAAAACTGTTTAGAATCTTTTCCCACAAAATGTTACCTTTCTCGTCCGACATTTGAACAATTATTTTCGATAGACCGCTATTCTTCCATAATATTTGCCCGAGTTCCGAATTACTAAAAAAAAAAAAAAAAACAGAAAAATTGTCAATAATAATATAAAATAGCGCATATTTTGACAAGAGAAATTTATAAATATTAAGTCACTCTCTTTTAATATTTTCTAGTTCTTTCTCTCAATATAAATAACTTTTCGTTAACTTTTATCGTATCTTCAAATTCAAACAAGATTATATCTTCAAGCAAGAAGATCGAATCAACAAATTTTTTAAAGAACGATATAAGATAAATAAACAAATAAATAAATAAATGAATAAATAAATGAATAAATAAATAAATAAAAAAATGAGTAAAAAAATGAATAAATAAATGAATAAATAAATGAATAAATAAATGAATAAATAAATAAATAAATAAATAAATAAATGAATAAATAAATAAATAAATAGAAATATCTTTCTCGGATCAAAGATCGTTGGCAATAAGTCAATAATTTCTAATAGCTCTGAATGGTGGGAGGAGAGATAACAATGATAATGAAAAAGCTTTCATCTGTGAAAGAAAAACGGAATTGAGCTCGCAATATTCTACCGCTATCGAACAAACTGAAATTTAATGCGTTAATTGCACCATCAGCAGAAAAATTAATTAACATGCATTATTTAATTGCATCTCAATTAAATATTGTATTAAATTAATTTTATCTACACACACACACACACACACTTGCGTATATGTGTGTGTAAGCGCACGCGCGAATATGTCGAACTATCTTCAATCTTGCCAATCTTTCTCAAACGTTATTATCTCATATATTATTCCGTCTTTTTTCTCATCTATTCTCTCAGCATCTTATTCTGAGTTTTGATGAGTTGATGTTGAAATTGTTATTACATTTTTTTTTCTTTTTTTGTACTAAAGGGACCTTTTCCCGTTTATAAATAAATAAATAAATGAATAAATAAATAAATAAATAGAAATATATATATTCATATCACACGTTTCACCGCAATACCTGAAATGCTCCCACATGACGTGAATGTTCTCCAATATGGGCGGCAGGAACCAGGAGTGAGCCGAGTGATCGCTATTTCTGACGTGGCCGTCGTTATTTCCATGACCTAGAGCATCTAGAACCATTGGTACGAGACCCATTAGCATGTCGTTGTTGGTTTTTTGTTGGAGAAACATGCTGCCCATGCTGATTATGTTGCCCCAGTCTATGCCATTCCCCTCGTCGTCCTCCGTGTCTCTCGCCGATCTCCTACCGACATTGTCATTCGCGGTCAAGGCACTCAAGATCGTACCAACCATTTCAAATCCCTGATTATTCTGGCCACCCGACATTAAACTGCTGATCCCAGAGATGATTTGGCCTACACCATCCGTTGCGGATCTTTTCTCCAACATGTCGCCGACCTGTCAATTTCCGTATTTTGTATTTACATTTTATATTTAACGCTCATATTTTTATAGGCATTAATACGAAAATTAAATGTTTGTAAAGTCTTAAACGAGATTGGTGATTTCAATTCTGAGTATGTATCTGAGGTGTTGATATAAAATGAACAACATACTTGGATGGATGTAATAAATAAATAGATAAAAAATGAATTAAATAAATTAAAAAAATCTGAAAGTAAAAAGATTTTGCCAACCGTTAGTAGTCTTTAGTGAACCTTAAACTATGAGAAAATAAAGCTACTTGTTGAAAAAAAATTTTTTGATTATAATGATAACAAGATTTTGTGGAGAAGTCAAAGTACCCGGTTTTGTCCTACCGGTAGAGTAAAACCGGGTACCCATTTGAAAATATGCAAAACACCGTGTAATTACAAAATCTAGATTTGTTTAAATCAAAATACAATATAAAGATGTATTCTATTGACAAAAATCACAAATAGAGATATCTTCTTGTTCGACATTGTTGCAGAACTTCCTTATTTAACTTTTTAACTTTAGGGATCTCAAAGAGTTTATTTTTTAGTGGTTTCTTTTTCTGAATGTTAGTTTTCGTTTCCAACTGCTTCTTGTAGGAAGAGAAAGTCAGGATAACAGTTCTTCCTCTTTTCATTACATGAGATGTGTAAGTATCCGGTTTTGCCCCAACACAAAGAAGTAACAAATACGGCGGTTATATATTCGGCGTACAAAGTGACGATCAAAATTAATATGATATCTTCTCTAATATATACAGGATACAATGCTGCATTTACTGAAACAGATGCTCTATATAAAAAAAGTGCACGACGACTCGATTCTTGCCTCGATATCAATTTTTTTTTGCGCTAAAAACTTTGAACTTCTATTAAAAAAGAAATATCATGTGCACAGGGGCACGGTTTGTTTTAAAATAATGATGGTGCCAATCTATAACTAATAACACAAGTTAGCCATAGATAACAGCACTTATTACGAAAAAACAGGGGTACCCGGTTTGACCCGCTTTCCCGGTTTTACCCAACTTTTCCCTATATATGAATATTTTTCTCGTACTTGCTTGCCGGAATCCGCAAAGGCATGGGCCATGTTTTCGATCGTCTTCTGACTGAATAGGTTTTTGGCCTCCTCGATGAAGACGTTGGACGCATCGTTCTCATTGTCCCTCTCGGAGATCGCCAACCCGATTAATACGAGTAGAAGTGATGTTCTCGATAACCACATCCTTCCGGTTCTGCAACACAGCATTCGGTTAGCGTAATTGCTCGACAATTTACCTGCTGTATAATCGTTCAATCGCCGAAGACCAACATGTCCTTATGATTTAACGACGTGCGATTACAACGGAGAGACCCACTTGCCTTCTGATCAAAGACGTCGAATTATATTTAAGAGGAGACTTGCGTCCCGCAAGATCGTTGTCGCGAAGATTTTAAACGCGGGAGATATACCGGAAATGTTTCGGCTCGTGGCCACTCGGATACCGTTGTTCCTTTGACACAGTCGCTTCGCCAGTGATGGTAGTACATTACACCCATGCGTATATTTTCAGGACGTACGAAAGCATTGGTGACGAACGCGTTGAGTCAGCACTCGAAGAATAAGCATAACAGTTCCGATTATATCTTTACGTGTGTACGTATGTAGAACAGTTACAAATTCGCATACATGCTTAACATAACAAAATTTCTTATCGACTAATTTGGAATCGATTTGTTCTTAACAAAAATTTAATTTTTTACTCATTTTTCTGACACACGATTTATTAATTTATAACAAATATATATTTATAAAAACATATATGTATATATATATTTATAAAAATATATTTATATATTTTCTTACATTTATTTGTTTTACAATTTATTCATGTGAATATGGAGGAATAGACGATTTAATCAGACTAAAATTCAAGCTTTCGTCTAGTTCACTAACGCGATTCTAATTTATTTGTAGAGTAAGTAACATTGTCGCTTATCATTATTGATTATCTTGAAGGATCAATCGCAACAACTGTCGCGAGCGAAGACAATGACGCTAAATGATCGGCGTAACGCCAATGTGTACTAACGCGCAATTTGAGTACCGTAAACCACTGGAAATTGACATTCTCCAGCTGGACGAATAACGATTCGGCCTAACGGTACGAACTGTTAGTCATCGTTACCCTAACGCGCCAAAGTCGTCAATGATTGTCCGCAAGAATAAGGAGCCGATTCGCCAGTCACATTTAATAAACATATGATCCAACATTTTTCAACATAACACTGATGTTCAATGTTAGATAATCTGAAAGTAAAAGCAAGGAATTTGTTATAATCGATATTTTATTTACCGATAAAAATCGCCTACTAAATATTTTATTTTAAATACATGTTATATTTTTTACAAAATCAAAATTAATTCAATCTTGTTTGATTTTTTAATATTTTCTGTGGATGTGTTATTTTATTTTTTTAATTCGGAGGATAGACAATTTTTAATATCTGTTAAGCCAGAAAAAATGACATTGCGTGCGCTTATTATAATTATATTGATTCTAAAAAAAAATGTATCCACATAATCTGACATTATTGGACGCGAAAAAAAAAAATTAAGATTGCAATATTGTTGCTATTGCAAAAGAAGAAAAAACGTGATCGTGAAAGTTGTTTCACTTTTATTTAATTTCACATTTGTTTGCTGTATGTTTTATAAATATCCTGCGTAAACACAACACACACACACGCAATATACGAAGAAACCACCTCGTTTTCAGCGGTTGTTGAGAGGGAAAGCTCGTGCGAAATTTTTGCAATGTTGTCGAGATTCGAGGTCAAGGAAGAAACAATCGACTTCTTTGTCATAAAATCATATAATTGTATGATTGTTGTCCCTTTTCGAACAATATGAGTGAATTAAATAAGCGAACATCGGCGATTTAATTGTTGGCCAACATTATTATTTTCGCGAAGCAATTTGCTTTCGAAATTATATCGGCATGTTAATGTCGAATCTCCCCGAAAAATGTTCCGCGTAAATTATCGCAATAACGGTGACCTTGATGTAACGGTATGCCTTGCATAAGAGTACTCTGAAATGCATACAATGCATAATCGCGCAATTTCGTAAGTCATTATTAATATATTAGTCATTTTTTATAATGCTGCGACAGACTTTTAGCATGACCTCAAAAGCTAAAGCAATTATAAATAATTGAGGGAGATAATAAAGCTGACATATTTGTCATATTATATTAATTGAATTTTGCTGTTTGTGACAAAATTGACAAAAAGCTATATATGTAATAGTAAAGTTAGTTATCAATTATTTACGCCTTTTTAAAATTCTTGTTGTATCAAAAAATAGGCTATTATATCGATTTTACATGACAAAATTATTTACAGTTATTAACAGAAATATCCGGACAAAATAAATAAGTAAACAAAAAAATTTATAAATATTTAATTATTTATTTAACGGGACAAATTGATTTTTTTTTTACAAAGAATGCTGCTACGTCATTTAGTATGCAAAGTTGCACATTTGCATTTATAATTCGGTTGATTTTCAGCGAATGTGTGAAATCATACAGTTATTTATGTGAGGTGACTTGCTTATCACCATGTTGATAAAAAAGGACCTTGGCTGACTAACATTAAAAAAAGACATCGAAAAGTTAGTTGCACGTTATCATAAATTATTAGCGATAGGCACCGAACGGTTAAAGTTCTGAATAAGCGCCTTTATCGTAAAATTGTTGGTCACTCAGGCAATTTTCCTGAATGCTTCAATAGAAATACTCTATTTCAAATATCGATTACATTTTCATAACTACTAAGAATCAGTAAGAAATTTTTTATTTTAATATAAAAGGATAAATGATGCAATCTTTCATGCATTTTAAATTGCGAACTATTATTAATTAATATTAATATAATATTAATAATATTTTTTATAATTATATATACATATATGTATGTATGTATATATATATATATATACGAAGGAATTGGTATTCTATATATATA